TCGTACTTAATGAATTTTCAGGGTCTTCACTCGCTGATCCCTCGTATAGCGCTCCATTTCGTCTAACCCCTGCACATTGCTGCCAACTCTTCGGCGTTAGTTTTGGGACACCCTTATTAATTCCAAACTAAATGAAATATTAAAAATCACTTTTATTAATCGAGTTATGAAAGATAAAAATTTTTTTTAATATGGATGATACAATGGGTTCGACTGTCAGGTTCCAGATTGTCACCTCTTTACTGTGTAAACCTTGGAAGAAAGCATGCTATGGGGTCCTCATTCCACACTGAAGGGGTTTGTATATGTACAGGGGCAATTTTTTAAATTGGACTGAGACCGAGCTGATACTCAAGCAAATTAAGGAGATTACGCTCAAGGTGCCTAAATAGTTTTGTAGAAGTTGCATATTATCGAGAAGAGAACTAAAAACGTTCAAAACTTTTCTCAGTTCATTCGTTTGAAAGTTTTGAACGAATTGTTGGATAGTTTTGCACCAAAGGGGCGTCTGCTGAGGGTATGACATTACATAGACTGAAGAGGGGCATGCATCTATAATTAGATAATTGTACATTTGTCACCGTAGGTTCATGAAAGGGTTTATTGGTCGTCCAAGGGTAAATTTTTATGTAACTATATCAGTGGGTTTAAAAAACTTATTAGGGGTAGGTTTTATACACCAACAAAATTTTTCTCATACGGCGAAAATAAAAATGTCGGTAAAATAGGATTCAATAGAATCTAATTAAACTTCGCCTTGTCGCTGTTCAATATTTCATCTTCAGAAGGAGTTCAAAGACAGTATTTGCATGTCTTCTAAGGAATATGACGTTTCGGTTTTCAAACTGTCTGATGCACTCATAATGAACTCATACTGCAATGGCAAAATGTGACCAACAAGGTCAAGCTGGTTGTTTCAAACGAAACATCATATTCTTTAGGAAATATCGAAGACCCTCTTTGGATACCTTTGAAGAAGTAATCTGGAAGAAATAAAATCTGATGATACAACGGCTAAACAAAATTTCTCCCAATTTCTCTGTCTATAAAACAGGTGCAGTAGCATAAAATTTTTTGCTCCAAAATTATATCTCTTGTTTGAAACTAACATCCATTTTTTTTAAGGGGGAAAAACAAAACAGATTAGGGGAATCAAGGGGAATGCAACAAAACAATTGCAAGATGCATAAAAACCGCGTCATTTACGCCAATCTATCGTAAGCTGTTCCCTTCGACAACAATGCAGCTGGGTAAACATCAAGGTATTGTAACATAAAAATTTACCATCATACTAAAAGGTGACGATTGTGCAATTCGAAATGTCGGGGGGGAACATTCAGGAGGCACTACAACAACTTTTTCATAACAAAACTGGCATCCAGTATTGTACGCAACTTTAGACAAGTTATTGTTCACTGTTCCTAGCAACTCCAGCTCACGCGTGCGTAGTTCCTAGCAATCCCACGCGTGTGTAGATGAAAAGTTCGTGTTCTTAGGCAAATATTCGACATAAGCGATTGTCTTAAGCCCAGGGGCGTCGCCAAGGGGGGCAGGGGGGGTCAGCTGCCCCCCCCCCTAGAAATTCGAAAAAAGCGCAAACATTTTCTTAAGCTACGAAAATATTTTAAATTTTAATTGCTCTACCGTGCACAACACGTACTGTAGAGCGATCGTTTAGCCTGGCTGAGAAATACTATGGTACAAAATCATCTCAAAGGCCTAGCAATGATGAGTATACAGAGAAAGCTTATTTTTGACTAACATGAAGATTTTTATTAATAAAGTGGTCGACAAATTTTCAAAAAATCCGATGTTTTACCTAATTTCGTTGAATTTCTTTATTTTTTTATGATTTTCTTGTATTAAAAAAGGTTCATTAAAAATATTTCTAAAAAAAATTAATTCACTATTCAACCTATTTCTACCTATAATTTATATATCTCCCATCCTCTTTCTCTTATCTTGCCCCGTCCCCTCCCTAGCCCATTGGCCGACGACGCCCTTGTCTTAAGCAAAGTTTGTATTCATTGAAAAAGGTATTGAGTCGGTAAATCAACACACACCAAAAACCCTGAATAATTTATTTAACTCTGTTTAGAAATGCAGCCATTTTGGACCTTAAAATAAAAACAGTTGAAAGCAATTTAAGCAAAAAAATATTTATATGAACAAATATTACGATTTAGAAATATTTGTTTACCGAAATGCGGAACAGAAATCAACGGGTCCAAATAATTATTGTTTTAATTTCGTTTACAAATAACTTTTCTGGCGACTCTAGCTTAGTGAATATTCGTCTAATTCACGAATATTTGTCTACGCAAGTCAGGAGCTGGGTAAGAACATTTTATTTGTGCTTTTTCAAACGCACTGTATTAATGAAATCTAAACTGTTTATCTTAGTATTTATTGCAAGTTAATCAGCAAATACATCATAAAATACGTACGTTAGGAACGTTTTGGCGTAGAGAAAGCTATATTCTTTTTACACTGAATATTAAATTCATATATCAATGATTCCCTTGTTTAAAACTTTCACTGAATTGCAAACATCTTAAGATGTCTCATTAAATGTTGAAAACGAATATAATGAAAAAAATTAATAAACGGCTTTTCTGGAAAATCTATTCCAAACATGTCTTATTTATATTTGTCCAAAATCCGTGAAATAAACAAAATTTTAATTAAGTCTCAGCTTGTCCTCAATTCTTGACATTGAGTTTTTAATAAACAGCGACAAACAAACGGTGAAGGTAAAATGGAATAAGGGTACTCTTTTCATCTAACTAAAATGCAGGCTATTATCATAAATATATTTATTTCAGTGTAAAACGACAATATATCTGCGTAGCTTTAAAGTTTTTTTTTTTTTTTTCACTAGCAATCGAGTTGTTGGATTATCCGGGAAATCTGTGGCTTATGAAAAAAATTGCTTGGCATGTAAGAAGTATTTTAAGCTTTTGACAAGAGCATGCAGGTCAGACATCAATTTTGGAAGACACCAATGTCGTTCCTAGCTTCGCAAACGACATAAAATTACCTGAAAAGCAAAACCTCTTTCTGGTTGGGTTTCATGAAATCGTTGAACTCTGCTACGTGTTAAAAATGTCCTCTACAACAATAAGATGAACGTAACCCAATTACAGTCTGTTTAAAAAATCATGGGACACAAAATTTCTCTTTGAATCACATTCGTTATTAACGTGGAACATTTTAGAGGAGGCTAAATCGTAAGTTTTAAACATGTTTCTAAAAAGATTAAATAATAATTCAGCCGGTTAGGAGGCTTGTCGGTTTGGTCCAATTATTTTATCGACATGGTAAATCCGCAAAGGATACCGAATGCAACCTCCTCTAAAACATGTTCTCATAGCGTCGTTAGTATGTTGGTAGTTATGTGTACTCGAGTTTGATCCATGATTCCAGTTATATTCAACAGACTGTAAGCAAGCAAAAATAACTTGATAAAATTATATCGAAAGCCTTATATGACAGCTTATTATTACGTATACACCGTTATTATTTTTGCTTGATATATTTCATAAATAGAAAAAGAATGTTGGTATTTTATATGTCTTTCGTATCAGAAAATACCAGCATACCTTATTTCATTCGGATGAATAACAACCGCGATGTAGTTAAATTTCAGCATTGATTATTAATTACAAATATATTTGCCAATGTTTGTTTGTTGTACAGTATACCTACGCACCAACCACCAATCGATAGGGGATAAAAACGATATATACAGAGGGTAACGGAAATGATGGAGAATTTCCCGAGAAGTAACGTTACTCGCCAAAATAAGAAAAAATCGATCGTTTCCGACATAGAGGGTGTCAAATACACAAACGGCTTTTTCACATAACCATATAACATTGTTTTATTAAGGAAAATTTCATTAAAAACGAAAAAAGGGCTTGAAATGAGACCAGAGTACTTTTTTCGTTAATTTTTAATTTTTCCTTCAAGGAATTCTGAAGACTTCTTTGTCCACTAAATAGATTCAAAGAAAACCAAAATGCTAGTTTCATTTTATCAATCAAACACGCTCTCAGGGGTTCACGATGTTAAGGATACGATGCCTTGAAAGCATGTACTTCACCACTTGGTTTTATTTGATTATTTTAATGAAGCCTTCCAAAGACATAGCATATATATGTCTTTCTTCATTTGTAGATTCGATACCCTATATTTCGAAACGAAAGCTTTCAGGACACGTATGTCCATAGAAACCTTTTCATTATTTCAGCAAGTTATATCACTTTCCGAGGAACCTAACATTTCCACACCTATACAAGATGTAACAGCCACGTTGTGCCAATCAGGACTAATCCTTTCCGTGTAAAAAAAACAATAAAACACGATTCTCCATAAAACCGATGTAGGTTCTTCAAATATTATGTTAAACACAGTTTTTGATCAATTCCTCAAAAACCCCTTCATCGTGCTTTTTGGACTTTCAACTATAAACCGTACATTCTACGAAAAAATTTTGATTGGAGATGATCCATCCAAACCTGTACCTGTGGAAACTCCTCGAATTCTTCCAATTCCGACGTTATTGGTTGATTTTTGATCAGATTTTAATGTATGGGTTTGAAGTGTGATCAAAAACTGTGATAGGAGCGAACAAATTTTAGGAAAAATCGCCTTTGTTGTTTGACAAGAGGAATCAGGTCTGGTTTGCGAAACGTCGATGCTACACCCAATGTAGGTACCTGCACACATTGGTTTCTACACGTGCATACCTACTTTGTGTACTTTATTTATTAGATCGTATGTATGTGTGTGTTATGTCCTTAATCAACCAATTGACAACCTTGTAGTTTGTATTGTAAATTCGCAGCAGCAATTAACTACATAGTGCAAATATAATGAAAAACGGGCTGCAAATAAAGCCGTAGCCAAGATTTTGATCAACAAGTGGCAAACGCGAGCCTCGCGTTATCCGCAGCCCGCTTTGCATTGGATGTGCGTTCTGACGAATAAAAACTTACTTGAAATCTGTTGACGATAGTTTCTAATTGGTGTTTTGTAATTTTGGTTTGACGGCGAGTCATGTCAGTGGGTTGTTTCGCGTTAAAGGGATAGGCTATACATCTCGATATAAAAACATAAAGTTGGATTCTTCTCTTTCGTTCTTCTTCCTCTCGCTCCTGTTTCTCTTGTAAATCTACTTCGGTTTTTTCTGAGGCAACTGAAGGCGATGGACTCGTGGGTCGGGGTAAGGAATTTGCTCTGGAAGACCCCATACTGTGGCTGAGCGTCTCAGCCGATACGGCACTAGATGGTGACAATGAACGCTGTGCAACAGCTGTGTTATTGGGTACCTCGAGGTTCCCACTGCCCAACTCCGACCCATGCGAGTGATGATATGGGGATGATTCTGCCTGGAAAAGAACGCGACGGATTATTTGCGCTGCATTTGCATTTTCGCTTACGCGGCGTCTCCCAGTAGCGCACGGTAGTCGCACTAAAACCGCCCTCGCTTTTCTCCGTTATTACTCGAGATACATAAAAGTAAGAAGGTATTTAAAAAAATTATGACGCATGTACCACAAAGACAGTTGAAAGCAGCTTGAATTAATTTACCTACCTTTTAAATTGTTCTTTATTTAAAATGAAACGAACAAATATTTACAAAAATTAATAAACTTCACATATTTGCATGAAATAAACGGTTGTTGATATTTCACACTTTTATTAGTGTAGTTTGGATACAATTTGTTGAATGTGTTATTTGCAATCGCAGAATTTAATAAAACACATCCGGTTAAACCAGAAAGTACATGACAATTTGGTTATTGCCGTTTAATAATGTCTGTCTAACAGCGCAAAATATGTCAATTAAAAATCTATGCATTTATAACGTCATAGAGAATTTAATTCTCTGTACGGTGCACATATTTTTTTATACAGGCATCCAAAAATTTAGGTTATCTACAAATATGAAGATTCGCCTACGCTTAGCAGTTATTTTAAATACGTTTTTTTTTTAGTTTCTTAAGAAATCGCCAGCGGAAATGTTAAACGGCACGCCCTGTAGATCAAAATAAACAAAAAAATTTGAAATGTCCAAAATTAAAGCTAAAAATAAAATGAATTACAGCAACAGCTTAAACTCTTTGCTTTAATTGCGTAGTAATAATTTAATTTTCCTAACATCACGTTATTTCATGCAAAAATGTGCCCGAAATGTTTTAATCACCAATAATTTTGCGTCACTTTTCAATTGGTATTGATACCAAAGTGATTGTTAGTCATCGTGTCTTTTAACTGTGTTTACTAGTGTTACTGGCAAAATAATTTGTCATATGATAAAAAATTAAGGTGTAATATTTTGTTTAAGTCATGTTTGTCATACCAACTGGTGTCAGATCTTTTTTTCCACACCCTAGGTCATTTGTTGTGTCTAGATAGTGGTGGTGTTATTCCTCGTCTTTCAGTTACAAATGATACACATGATACAATTTTTAGATAAAATAATTTACGCGTATAATACATAATAGTGTCTGCTGAGTTAAAACTTACTGGGTGTTGATGAGCAGTCGAGTGATGATGGTGATGGGATGGCGGATGGTGCCCCACATGGTGGCCGGGTCCATGTTCTTCTTCACTGTCTTCCTCAGATGAAGATGGATCTATCATCTTCTATCTGCCTTCAGCCGCCCAATCTGCAAACAAGGCGATCGTGTTTTATTTTTTTTATTCGCTCAACTTCGTCCAGGCAGAATCCAATTACAAGCCAGAGTACAGCCAATAACGATACAAATTTGGGTTACATATAAAATAAAGGAAAAAACAAAGAAACAATTACAATAGCAGTAAAATGTACGATATTATGCTCAATATGTTTCAGTAATTAAGTACCTAATGATGAGCCGCTAAATATTTGATCGAATTTTGTTGATAGAAAGTGAGTAAATTTATTCACTAACGTACATAATTGCATACGCTTTCAACAAGGAGAGTCAATACGCCAAAATAATGCTCGATTGAAGGGAAGATTGAACAGCCCGTATTGTCGATACTCGGAAAGTTAATTTCTACAGCGGTTATTAAAAATGCTTTCAGCAGAAATTCATTTTGTTCTAAAACTCGCACAAATGCTAAATTAACTTCACGTCGAAATATTGAAAACGAACTCACTTTATAGGAAACCCCGAGCATCGATCTCTGTTTGGAATGAAGCGCATTGATTTTGATTTTTGTTCTATTCGTTGTAAATAATATAAAAATTGCCGCAAGTACACGATCACTAATTAATAAAATAATGTTTATTGTAAAAGGTCTTGAAAACCCACAGTTTTTAGAATATGTTATTAGTTAATAGATAAAAGATAAAGTTATATCTCCCCTCCAATTATTATCCTACATAAATTAAAAAAATATACGTTAATTACTGTCGCTGTCACTTTTGAAACTGAAAAAAACGATTTTTGGAAAAGCTTTTCATAGTTTTTATCCCATCCCGAACATCTTACCCTCTGGAGAAAAGTTGACCGTAAACACTACTTGCACTAAATGTACTCGTATATTGGGATCATCGACTGCTGCCTGAAGCTTGCTTCTTCCGACCGCTCGCAATTGACTGTTGGCAACGGAAAACGCTTTTATATGAAGATCAAGTGCATCATCCGTGCACTTGCGCCGTACGAAATGCTGCTTTTCATTGGGCGCAATTCGAAGTTGTGCACAATAATTTGATTTTCTTCAATGGGAAGGATCTAGGCGTTTTTAATATCCTCAGTGGAATTGATCGAGAGGAAGTTCATTGATTGCGATTCAATTGACAGGGAAAAAAAAGGTAAATTTAATAATTCACGGCCGAACTCTAACGTAAACCAATTTATTCTCGCTTATTGCTCGAAAGACAGCGTTAATTAGTTGTTTTTTAAACGCTAAGTGTGTTGACGGAAGTACACCTATGTTCTTGTGGTCCAGTTAAATGGGCCTTTAAATCGCAATTTTGGTCAACTTGCCAGAATTTTTGATATAATCTAGTTTGAGATATATAATAACAATAAATGACAATAATTTTTTTTCAACCCCCGGCCGGGGGTTGATAAAAGATAAAATAAAGGGGTTTTCAAGATAACTCAAAAGGGGTAAGAGTTAGAAAAAAATGTTTCTTATAAATGTTGTAGAACATAAAATTCTACATAAAAATGGTCTATTGACTTTTTCTTGTACTATTAAATTTAACGGAGTTAAGGAGACTAGAAATTAAGGGATGATTTCAGAAATTTAAAGTCAGCAGAAAAATTAATGAATTTTATATATATATTTTTCAATCTACTCTAAAAAATGTAAACTTTCTTTTCAGATGAATAGATATGTTTTTTAATTTTTAATATAAAAGTTATAACAATTTCAATTTTTTAATCGTTAATTTTTATGATTTAACACTAAAACTATTTTTTTCTATGCCATTCAATTGATTATTTAAAATAATGCTTTCGAAATTTTGTTTTACGACAAAAATACGTTCGCTTTGTGAAATTGTTATATATTTTTTAAAAATTAAAAAATATATCTATTTTTTCTGAAGATGGTTTATACTTTTTAGAGTAGATTGAAAAAAAAAATTATAAAATTCATCCATTTTTCTGCTTGTTATGATTTTTTAAATTTCTGAAATCATCCCTTAACTTCTAGTCTCCCTAACTCTGTTAATTTTAATAGTACAAGAAAAAGTCATTGGACCATTTTTATGTAGAATTTTATGTTCTACAACTTTTATAAGAATTTTTTTCCCTAGCTCTTACGCCTTTTGAGTTCTTGAAAAGCCCTTTTATTTTATCTTTTTTCAACCCCCGGCCGGGGGTTGAAAAAAAATTATTGTCACTTATTGTTATTATATATATATCTCAAACTAACTTATATCACAAATTCAGGCAAGTTAACGTAGATATTGTTATAGGAAACGTCAACTACAAAAAATGTAATGAATATAATGTACTTCTTTCAAGCAAAATACAGATTTTCTTTCCACATTATTATAATATTATTTTTTTATTTTAGAGAAATCTGAGTCTTCAATATTGTTCTTGCACAGACAAAGCAGCTTACGCTAAATGTAACACCATATGAAAATATTTGTTTACACCGGGTGAAATATATCAATTTTGTCATGAAATTTTATTAAAATAAGTTTTTTCTATCTCTTAAAATAAAAAAGTTAGACGGCCCTAAACTTTCTGTACTTTTCCGGTTTTTTTTATGATTACTCATAAAGTTGGCCATGAATCTCAAATTTGTTTTTACGAGCATCAAGGCCTCAAAAAATGCAACAAAAATCATATAAAGAATTTTGACGTGCATTGCGTATTAAGCGAGAAACATAGGAGTGGCCCTCCTATAGTAGGCAGCCTGTATATCACAAACTAACTTATATAAAAAATTCAGGCAAGTTGACGAAAATTGCAATTTAAAGACCCATTTAATCGGACTATTTAGCGAAGTTATAAAACGCTTTATAGAATTCGTTTTATAAACTTTTTGCTGATTTATAACGACGACCCCTAACAGTTTGTCGATTTGAGTACGACTATAAAACTTAAGCTGTTTTTGGTAATTATTTATTTCCGTCATTTTCAGTAACCCTTTTTTTTGACTGGGTACTTTTGCCATATAAAATAAATAACCCCTTGTTCCAAAGGGATCGATCAATTCCTAAACTTAGTTTTGCCTAACCAGAAATATCTCACATGACAAAATATTATTGTGGAGTATTTTTCTGGAATATACAGTTAGATGTGAGACACCAAAGAAAGATCGAAAATTAAAATTTTAAATATTAATCATTTTTAAGGCGCTAAAAATATTATTTATTCATTTTCTCGGAAAATTAACATTACTTCTGCCAGGTAGTCCAAGGAAACATTTCCACCTGTATTATTCGCACAATAAGACACACGACAATTTTGATAAGGATGGGACATATATTAAATCATTTGTGGGCGGAGCTATCTCAGATTCAAACTTATTTGGGTCCCAGAAACAGGCAATTTTTATGTTCAGCCGCTCTGGTACGTACAAAGGGTGAAAATAGTTTAAATTGTTTTTACTTCAACACCCTGTGACTTCGAAACAGTTTTTATGTCATTTCTTTATAATGATTGTTAGTTGTACGTGATAAATTGTGCTAAAACTCGACGGACAAAGTGAAAAACTTATTATTACTGTCATATTAAAACTATGAAAAAGTAAAGAGCTCTAAGTTCATCGTCATAAAATACTTTCCTTTTTTTGACGGAACCAGATTAGATTGTTATTCGAGAACAGATTCTGCTTTATACGTTAATTCCACGTTAATTCAATATTTCCTGGTTTCCTTTCATATGTAAAATGAAATATTTAATATCTCTGCAATTCTGATAATTCCGGAATCTGAATATTTGTGGATCAGATGAAATTAAAATTCCAGTCAGATTGGGTTATTTGAAATAGCAAGAAATAATTTTAATATAACTACCTCAGATTTCTGTATTATGACGTTTATGTATACAGTATGTCAGCGTTAAGGTGAACGCTTGCAGTAGGGAGGAGTTTTCAATTTTGATATAGGATACTTAAAAATAAATCCCTTTCGTCTTTCTATGTGAGATTGACCTTTAGGTCCAAACAATTGTATTTTAACTTCCAATAATATTTCTACGATCCAAAAAATAATTTAAATATTTTTTTTATCAGAATAATTGCTACGCTACTGATTTTTTGTTATTTTAGATTATTGAAAAAAATATTTTTTATATTCAATCTAATAAAAGCAGCTTAAAAACAGTCAAATCTAAGTTATAATACAGGTATATTTATGATATACAACACATATATTCAGCGCCGAAGGGCTACGGAGGCTGTAGCCCTGGGTGTCACGAGATCGGGAGACCTCGGTAAGAACTGGCAGTGTTTAGGTTTTGAAATTTTATATCGACAAGTTGCAGATTGCATGACATTTTTTTTAAAGAGGTCCTGTGTAGGTCCTGTAACCCCGGGCCTCATCATAGGTTAGTCCGGCTCTGGTCGTATTTCAACAGATAATATATCGGATATTTTAGGCCGTAATGCGCTTCTCGGGGAATGCCAGGTTCTTATTTTTCACTACAGAAAATTGTTATAACGTATCAAAAATCTGGCAGAATGTTCGTTTATAAAACCGTGGAATTTAACCAAAATTATTCTGAGGTAGCTATTTGATGTAAATTCCTGTTAAAATAATATGTGAGTAACATCATTGAAACTGAAATTATAATACATACCCTTAAATGTTGGTCGTAGCAACTATACCGTATGTTTACGTTTTACGCAGTGGGAGAAATTCATAAATTTATTGAAAATATTAACAAGTGTTATTAAACAGTCCAATTTTTTATTGTAGTTGCTGAGCAAACTTAGTTAATAAATAATTTCAAAGGAATCAAGTCCAATTTACATCAAGTTTCACTGAGAAATTATTGAAAAGTTAAAGCCAGTCATGTTTCTTCTTGAATTTATTATCATCAGTGAAGTGTCGACAATTTTGTATGTTGTACATAACAATTAATTCGAGGTCAAAACATTTGTCAATTTTTTTGTATGTGAAAAAGGCCAATAATTGGTATAAGTCTTTCCGAAGTCAGTTGAAGATGTATAAAAACGCCTAGCAATAAAATTTAATGAGTTTCATAGGCGTCCTAAAAAAGTTTTCTGCTAACGGTAAAAAAAATAATAATAATTTGTATATAATGTGCAGATATTTCTATTATATGTTCATTTGATCAACAACATATTTTCATTACTTATGTCCTCAATTTTCTTTATATAAATTATAATCGTAAATATTTAAAATGAGACGCTGACAGTGACATTGAATATGTAAATAATTATTTTTAAATTCTAAATCTGTTTCATCAACAACCGGTCTACTAATTCAATGTAATTCGTTTTGTTCCGTTTCAAAAGGTCTCCAAAATGCCATATTGTAATAATATTAGTAAACAAAATGTCTTATTTCTCCCTTTCGCAATTGTAATATGAATGATTAATAGAAGGTGCCTATAATAAATTAAAATTACCTGAATTACACCAAACTCCGCATTGCTGCACTGCACTGCTAGGCAATTTGTCGACAACTGAAATTTATGAAACTTATGACCGGTCTCCCAGTGCGGCTGTGTGTGTGCGGCGTTTGCCCACGCGCGCATTCTTCAACTGGGCGACCAGGCCTGTATATAGGTATGGCTAAATAAATATGTGAACAAGTTTTTCAAATATTTTAATGCCAAGTTGCTGCGTAACAACCGAGCCTGCCTCTTCGGCTTCAATTGAGATCAGAAAGACTTATACTAATGATTGACGGTTGTGATTCTTCAGGCCATTTTAAACCTAAACTATCCCGTTTCTGATATAAACTCGAAAAAAGGAAGCCAGTCCCTTTATGAGACATGGGGTGTTTAGAAAAAAAATGACATACGTTCAGGGCCTAGTAGAACATAAAAAAGAATATGGTACTTTCGTGTTTTCTTTTGTTTTTGAAATACAGCCCGTTTGAAAATAATTTTTTAAATCACTTTTTGAGCTATGAAAAACAAATT